TGCACCACCTCAATGCCACAGCACCCCCATTTGGTCATGGTCATGGTTTCATTTGAGGTTATTATTAGAGACAGACTGATCAAAATATCGTATAGTACCGATACCAATGCATGATCAATACCAGCGCAATAGGATACTTTGTTTGTAGCCTTGAACTTGAGGATGCAGCCCACCGAACTGTGTTAAATGAAAAAAATATACCTCCAATATGCATTATGAAAAACGTGAATGTTTTTGTGATGACTGTAACATCTATTTTATTTACAGCCTTCAGCACATTTAAATATCAGAAGGTGACCCACTGTGCTTTAGAGACAGACATGTTTAGATTCCAAGTCTACAAAAACACAACAAAATCCAGTTTAAAATACATGAAAAGCCTAAAGATTTATTTTTCCACTATTGGTATGGTAATACTGGACCTGTCTTTACTTGGTATAAGATCAGTGCCAACATTTACAGAACCACACAGCACTAGTTATTATCTTGGTTTGGTTTTTGCACAACTATCATATGCCACATATTTGCCAACTCATCCATGCACCGCTTTACACCACTGACACGGACTTACACACATCATGATCATCATAATAAACCCTTAGTAATCCCTATTCAATTAGTGGCGTGACTCTGTCCTTTGTTGCGGCCTACACGTTAACAATGACACATATGCTACACGCAGACATTGTGCACATTTGGAGGCAGCATCTTAACATTACTGAGGATTAATTAATTATTTAAATGATCAACAGTGTAATCACTACAAATGGAAAAACACGAAGAGACACATCCTGCAAGCCATCACTTCTAAAGAAAGCACCAGGCTAATTCATGATCTGGTGTTGGATCCATGATGCTCATTAGTTATTTATAGTAAGGAACACTGCTCTTCACTGGCAATCAAATCAGTACAGAAAGGCCTGAAAACAGAGGCATGTTGTACAGACAGAAAGTGTTTGTTTTTACAGTCTTAATGCAGTCCTGAATGCAAGCATGTTCATGACACCCATGAGTCCCATTAACCCATTTCTGTTCCTATTTGGGAATAAAAATGCCCCCTGTTAACCTGGCTGTTTGAAAATATGTGCTATAACAAAAACAAAAGTAAAGAGGGTCCTGTATAAATCCATAGGTCCTGTTGTGAGGAGCTCAACAGAGTCCAAAGAGTAAAAGGTTATTTGAGCCATACAGGGACACAAAAAAGGAAAGAGGGAATAAATCTTACTTTTGTTGGATGTATTTATTATCAAAACACTTTTTAAAATTTAAAAATCCAGACTAATAATTACTAAATACAGTAGATTATAGAATTCTACAAAGGATCTTGGCGTGATTAAAAAAGATAACAAATGGGACACAACAGTTTAGCTCTTAAAGAGTTAAAGCTGACAAATGTGTTCTGTGTATTTACACTGGCAAGGACTTTGCACAGCCATCTCTAAGTGAAACATAAATTGAACATGTTACTTAACTCTTTCATCACCTGTTGACACGTTTACCTGCCTTGTCTTATTTGCCACCTGCATGGCACGCTCACGAGGCCACACCCTGTTACACAACCTCTGGCAGTGTGGTGCATAAATAATTTGGTGGGACTTGTGAATGAACTAGTGCTTTGGAGTAAACAAACATTGTTTTGTTTTTTTCACCTTCACATCACATGTCAATGAAAGAATTGTACAACTGTACTGTAAATACAGAGGTGAAAACCTCAGGAATTCATTTATTCCTTTGGAGTCATGTTTAAAATGCTGCTTCTGAACAATACCAGCTGTATCTTATGAGCTCCTGAAGTTACGTGCTGCTGTTTTTTAAAAAATTTGACTAGCCACTTCTTAGACACGCCTGTCTTTTGATGATTCATAATTTCCGGAGGTCCTTGTTGTGGCTGATTTAATATCAACTGCTTTGAATGTGGCTAAAGCTAAGCTATTCCAAGTGTGATGCGTGAAGTGCAACAGATTATGAAATACAAAGGCCAGCTGTAAAAAGAAAAAAAAAGCATAGAAAAATCACAAGGTATAAAGCCCCCTTTCAAATCATTCACCTCACTGTATCTCTCTCTCTGCTAAACGTGCACAGACAGATGTTAAAAGGTGTTGATGGATGTCCTCAGAGCAGCAGTCATTCATCTTCATAGATCCCTTTCTTTTGAAGGACTGGTGTCAGAACACTAGCTCCTAATGGATGACTTGTTCAGACATGTCTGTGCTGGTGTCTCTCACCTTGTTTTCTATCTATAACTGTTTGCAGTCGCTTGTAAATCTGGCCGACTCCACCTTCAAAAAATGTGCCTATAGTTTGAGCATACAACATGTCTTGAAATGCATAAATCTTAGCTTAAGTGGTGGTTTGTAGCAAACACACTGGATTTGTATATTGATAACAGCTGTTGTCTGAAAATAAGTCTAATGTTTTTCGGTTGTATTATACTGTGAATGGTGTTAATAACCTCTGAATAGCTCCTCTTAAACAGTACAGAGAACATAAAGGTGTAACAATGTCCAATAATCCAAGAGACAGGATATTAAGGGAGGGGGAAATAAACAAAAAAATGCATTTCAAAGAATTAGCAATGGCTGATTTGGAGGCAGGCATTTAACCGCATTAATACTATAAATGTTTCTCTAGATCCAGTCTGCATCAACCACACACTATCTGCAGCACAATAGTGACAAAGATATGCTGTTTAAAGCAATAACGTCTAAGTGTTGTATCAAGGATCAAGGATCACTATATACTGTATGTGAGCTGGAACGACATAAAACAGTGGTGTCTGTGTAGCAACCATAAATGTCCCTTGTTAGAAAAGCATTTAGGTAAAGGTAAATGCCCACTATTTGTCACACAGCGGTGGCTCTGTTGTAGTTATTTTCTAATATTGCAGAAATGGTACTTGAGAGAATCATGGAAATCTAAGGGACACGCAGCAGTGGTGTGTTACTATTTAAAACAGCCACATAAAGGTACTACGTGCAAGTGCATATAAGAATCTTATATTTTATTATATGAAATTGCAGTTTATTTAACATGTTTCCTTATATTGCATTTTTATTCATTTACTTATTTTTCCACCATGATCCAAAAGCACTAGGATTTTCATTCTGAGTAATAATATATGCCTCCCGCCCCATGTTTCTATATTGCTGTTGAAAAGACACACCACATGGTTGATGCTGAATTGTCAATCATTGCATGTCGGAAAGTGTCAGTGGTAATTTCCACGTGTGTTATTAGGCATTTTGCACTGACTGTTTATATTTGAAATAAATTTGTTGATATCATTCATCACATTTCCAACACAGGTGCTTGATAAATTAATAAAAAATCTATATGAAGAGTCAAATTAAGGTGTGGGAGCGATTGTATAAACTTCAAGCTTAAATTATACAGTGATGAGGGGTGGATCTACATGTGGGCAAGGGGGGGCAGTTGCCCTCTTGCCTCAG